GGAGTACCACCACCACCCCCACGCCCTTGCAAGGAAGCGCCCCCCACCCGAGAAACGTCTGAATCCTCCTGACGGGGGGAGGGGAGGGGAGGGGTGGGAGCGCGCAACAGGCTTCCGCCTCTCGCGAGTCAGGGCGGCTTAGAGTTGCGGGGAAACCGAAAGTTAGGTTTCGCAGATCGCGGGGAACGAAGGCTTCCTCCTCCCCACGAGACGGAGTTGGGGCGGCTGCCCGGGTTGCTAACCAGCTGCGATGGCCGAAGGAGCCGCCTCGGCGCCGGAGCCGTCCGCCTCCCATTTGACGGTAAGCGTCGGGGAAGGTTTCCGCGGTTTGTTCCGAAGTAACGCGGAGGGCGGGCAACTCCGGAGCAGAGAGAGAGAGAGCAGAGACTTACTTGGGCCAGAATGCGGAACACTGCCCTCCAGTTTGGGGAGGGGGAGGGGGAGAGGAAGAAGCCCCCCCCCCAAAAAAAGACTTGGTCCCAAAGTGGGACCTGCGGAGTGAGAGGGAAGACACTGGCTTTGGGAGGCAGGGGGCTGCCCCGTGGAGAAGGGCTTGTAAAGATCCGTGACCCCCCCCCCCATATTCAGCCTCTCCCCACCCAGTTTCCCTCCTTCCTTCTTTTCCACCACACCTTTATTTTCTTCCTTCACGGACACGCGCTTTTCCGGGTATGCCTCACCCGGAGCGTTTCAGGAGGAATCCGTGTCTTCCAGATCCGTCAGGACTACATGTCCCATGAAGCCCAGCCAGCATGGCTGGGGCCCGGAGGAGTTAGGGTCAGCCACAGTTGGAAAGCCAGACTTCACTTCGCTTCTTTAATGAAGGGGTGGCAGCCAAACCAGACAGGAAATACAGGGGGTCCTCGGCTTACGACCACAACAGAGCCCAAAATTGTATGTTGCTAAGGGAAACGCTTGCTAAGTGGATTTTGCCCCGTTCTACGACCTTTTCTTGCCCCAGTTCTTAAGTGGATCGCCCCAGTTCTTGTTAAATTAGTAACACGGCCGTTAAGGGGAATCACATGATCCCGGGACACTGCAAACATCATAAGTACAACTCAGTTGCCGAGCATCTGAATTTTGATCAAGTGATCCTAGGGATGCTGCAACGGTCGTTAGTGTGAAAAAACGGTCATAAGTCACTTTTTTTCTGTGCTGTGGTAACTTTGAAACGGTCACTAAATGAAGTATTGTAAGTCAAGGACTACCTGTAGGAAGACATGAACTAATTGTCATGGTTCCGATAGACGAAACCAGTAAAAACAGAACTCCAAGGCAGGAGATTTCCTTAAAGAACACATTTATTGGCTACAAAGTACCGGCACTTTCAAAAGTGAAACCAAGACTGAAGTTTCCCCCCAAAGGTTAATACAATGTTACAAAGTTAATTTCCCACCCCACTAATATGTCATAAATCACATTCCCCAATTAATTACTTTGGCGGGCTTCCTAGCAAAAGCGTCAGCAATGACCTTGGTTCCCACAGAACACTTTATTGTGTTCTAAAAAACTAAAAAAATACTCATTTCCCCTCCGAACTCTGTGGCAACTGAAAACGAGGTGGAAATGGCTTCAGCCAAATTCGTTTGCAGGGTTGACACTAATTCTACTTTATTTTAAGGCTACATGAACAGAATCTTGCAGGTCGGAAGGTACGGGCTTCCTGCTTTAAGCAGGTTGATTTATTCAAGAGGTTCCTCCCTAATTTTATTCCTCTGACCAAAGAGCCACGGAGGGTTCCTGCCTCTCTTCTTTGATTGTAGCTTCCCTTCCCTTCGTCCCCCAAGGTCGCCCACGGGTTCCTTTACAATTATTGAGAGCTAGAGAAAGCAGTTGATACTGGACCATTGAGCTCAACCTCAGCCTCCTAAAGAGGAGTGGACTTCAACTCCCAGGAACCCCTTAGTGGCCTAGCCAGTTATCTGGGGGAATTCTGGGAGTTGAAGTCCACCTGTCTTCAAGTGGCTGAGGTTAAGAAACACTGGACAGATGGGTTGAAGATTTACTCTCCAGGACTTCTGGCAATCCTCCAGATTTCAACTCCCAGAATTCTCAGCTGGAGCCAATCTGGAAGCTGCTGAGATTGGCTAAGATTTCTACCGAAAGGTGAAGCCAAATCCACAGCGTTGGAAGGAAACCAAACAAGGAAGCTAATTCCAGTTGTGTTGTTAGGTCCCTTGTGTGCTTTTTGGTTTACAGTTGACTTTCTCCTCCCTCCTCGGAAAGAATGGAGGAAAAAAATTGTCTGATGGGAGGGGGCTGAAAAATGGACAAGTACTCCACCACGCCCAACTTCCTACACGTTCCAGCTAGCAGCGTTTCATTTCCTGCTTGTATATTATTCCATTTCAGTTGCATTCATTAAACTGAGTTGGGTTAATCTAGACATTCCTTTCACATCTTTTCCTTCCACAGGAGATGAATAAGGAGTTACAGTTCCTCCTATGTGATGAATGCCACTTAGAGGTCCCACACCCCAAACTCCTGCTCTGCTTTCACAATCTCTGCTCCCCGTGCCTTGAAAAAAAGCCGCCCGATCTCTGTGTCATCTGTGGAACTCCGTACGTCCACCTTGCAGAGACCCCTGAAAAGCAGGATAACGTGTTCTTTGCCAACCTCCAAGTCAATTTTGATCTCTACCAGAAGGTCACGGGGAGCAAAGAGTCGGTTTGTAACAAATGTAGGAAAGAGGCAGAGTTTTGGTGTTTCAGATGCAAAGAGTTCCTTTGCCTCTCGTGCTTTCAGTTCCACCAGAGATATACAAAGAAAGACAATCACAAAGCCAGGCCGCTGAAGGACTTCCAGGCAGAATCTTGCAAGGACTTCCTTTCAACCATCAGAATGCCCAACAACATGTTTTGTTCCAAGGAGGGACATAGCAGCCAAATATTAAGGTAGGTTGTCCATCTATGCTTCATTCTCAAACTGGAGAACCTCTTTTAAGCCACCACCCTGTTGCCCACTGGCTGGCCTTCCTGTCTGCCCAAAAGCTGATGGTTTTAGAATCTGGAGCAAGAAGCAGTGAGCTTTGTGGCTCCAACAGACATCTGGAGCGAGGCGTAGAGAAGCTTTGAGCTAACTAGCTAAGATAGAACAAGACGATGGGAAGAAGAGAAGTGGCCCCAGCTCTAATGAAATAAGTCCCAGTTGGGTTTCAAGGACACTCCGCACGATTTGGAGAATACGTCCCAGTTCATACAACATTCTGTGGCGTAAGGCAATGAGTGAATAGCCTCCGAAGCAAAGTTTCAGGAAATAGATAGACAGCCGTTATTGTCTTTTTTTTTACTGTGGGCACAATGGCACACATTAAAAATGAAATTTAGTTGCCTGCTCTCAAACTGTACACATACATAACCCAATGAGTTCTCATTCTTGCAGAGGAGTCTCCAATTTCTCATGAGGGAAGCAGCTTAGCTTGGACAATCATGAATCTGGATATTTCTTTAGGGACAATTGTTCAAGCCTTGTTGGATTGAACTGGGCCAGGGGTAGGCAACCTTGGCTCTTTTATGACTTGTGGACTTCAACTCCCAGAATTCCTGAGCCAGCCAAAGTTGCCTACCCCTGAACTAGGCCAATCTCTGCTTAGATAGAGCCGTGAATCCCACTTCTATTCTCCATCTGCTCCTCCTAGCACAGGGGTAGGCAACTTTGGCTCTTTTATGACTCATGGACTTCAACTCCCAGAATTCCTGAGCCAGCATGGCTCAGCATGGAAACCTCTCCATTTCTCCTCAGCATGGCTGGCTCAGGAATTCTGTGGAGTTGAAGTCCACGAGTCATAAAAGAGCCAAGGTTGCCTACCCCTGTCTTAGGAAGACATTTCTCCCAATCTTCCATGGTGTAAATAGTGTATTTCCTCCATAGTTTTAATCTAGTAGTTTCAAATATTACTCAACAGGTAAATGGTTTTGTCCTCTTTAATGGGATTGTGACATTGCTTGAAGGTGCTCAGGTTTCTAACGTGACTTGACTGGGTGCTAAAGACCCAGTTTTGAGATCCCCGTGCAAATGAAGTGACCGGGGATGGACAGCAGCTCCAGTCAAAAATCATATGCTTTGCCTTTCTTGATCCCCAGTCTCTACTGCAAGCAATGTTCTCAACCTATGTGTGCCATTTCCACCCTACCGGACAGCAAGCAACATTGTGACATCAGCCAGGAAATACAATGCAAGCAAGAATTGCAAAACATGAACACGGAGCTGAAGGAGAAGAAGAACACTTACGACGAGACCAACAGCAGCCTTAAGAAACTGTTGATGGACATGGAACAGTTGAGGAACGAGATGACGGAGCTGATCCAGCAGAAGATAGAGCAGATGATCCAGTGGCTGGGAGAAAAGGGCAAAGGGTTCTTAGCCAAAGTAGAAGCCCATCATAGCCACCAAGTGCAAGAGGTGAATAAGAAGCTGCAGGAGACGAAGGGAGTGGTCAAGAGAATTACATCCAGCCAGAGGTTGGTGGAGAAGTTGCAACTCTACGCTTCTGGCCAGGAGGTGTTGGAGATGCATCCTTTCCTCAAAATGTCCATGGTGGACCTCAAGAAGAAGCAGCCATCTTCGGTAAGGGGAATCGAAATGAGGACTTTCCTGGAAATCAAGGCCCAACTTCAAACTTTGCTCGACAGAGTGACAAAAAACGAAGGTAAGGTTTCGCAAAGATACGCAGGCAGTCCTCGGTTTACAACCGCCATGGGGATTTCTGTTGCTAAGCAATGCATTTATGAAGCGAGTCATCAGGGAACTGGGTCCAATTTTAGGATCCTTTCTACCGCAGTCATTAAAGGGACCCCTGTGGTCTTTAAGTGAATCCGGCTTGCCCCACTGACTTTGCTTGTCGGACGCCGACTGTGTTGTAAGCCACCCAGAGGCGTCGGAGACGAGATGGGGGGCAAATAAATTTCACAATCAATAAATAAAACTAGGAAAGACGCAAATGGAATTTATGGCAGTTGACCGCAGGATGCTGCCGACTGCCAAAAATGTGAGCTGGTTGCCAAGCACCCAAAGTACGACCACATGATCGTGGGAATGGTTGTAACTTTGAGGACGGGTAATAATAATAATAATAATAGTAATAGTAATAGTAATAGTAATAATAGTAATAATAATAATAATAATAAAGTTGGAAGGGACCTTGGAGGTCATCTAGTCCAACCCCCTGCTCAGGCAGAAAAACCTGTACTATTTCAGATAAATGGTTGTCCCGTCTCTTCTTAAAAACGTCCAGTGCTGGAGCATTCAGAGCTTCTGGAGGCAGGTTGTTCCACTGGTTAATTGTTCTAACTGTTAATTGTTCTAACTAAGTTTCTCCTTAGTTCTAGGTTGCTTCTCTCCTTGATTAGTTTCCATCCGTTGCTTCTTCAGGCGCTTTGGGGAATAGCTTGACTCCCTCTTCTTTGGGGCAGCCCCTGAGATAGTGGAACACTGCTATCATGTCACCCCTCGTCCTTCTCTTCATTAAACAAGACATACCCAATTCCAGCAACCCGTCCTTATATGTTTTAGCCTCCACTCCCCTGATTATCTTTGTTGCTGTTGCCTGCACTCTTTCTAGAGTCTCGACATCTTCTTTACATTTTTTCCAGGGCCATTTTAACTTTAAACCATCATTAACCTGGAGTAGTAACTGGGTTCCCTATTTTGCGAGAGAAAATGGGGTGGCCTTACTTGGGGGAACACAGAGACCCACACGACCGTGGAGTTGGCTGCCCACAGGAGAACACCTCCCCTGCCTATTTTTATAATGTTTTTATCATGTTAAAGCTTTTATATTAATTCTGATTTTAATGTTGAGTTGATTGCTTCTATTTTATGTCAGCCAGAGCCCTTCTCTGAGAGGGGGGGCAGGTTAAAAATACTTTATATAAATAAATAGGTAAACAAACAAACAAACAACATGGAGGCTCATGGCTACTCCCAGTAGACCAATCTTTGTGCAACCAGTTCTTTCCCAGGGGATCTGGAGCTACAAAACCAACACCAGGGGCCAGTTTAAGAGGCTAGCCCAACTTTGGCAACTTTAAGACTGTGGACTTCAACTCCCAGAATCCCCCAGCCAGCCATGCTGAGGTATTCTGGGAGCAGAAGTCCACAAGTCTTAAAGTGGCCAAGTTTGGAGACTCCCCTGGGCTAGAGTCCTGGCATGGAACGACTTTGGTAATTCTGGCTGAATTTAATTTATTATGGCTCTTTCCAAGGTCCCAAACACCTAGCTTTCTGGATGAGACCGTGTTTGCATAAACCAGCAGAAACTGTAGAATGACGTTTTTACGACTGTGTCTTTCACTCTGCTGCCCAGTTTTCTAACCCTTTGATTTTTCTCTCTTCTTCAGAAGCCGATCCAGCTAAAGCTCAAACAGAGCCTCCAGAGGTGAGAAGGCTTGCATGTGTATCTTATATACAGACGGCATGTTACCCTGTGGCAGCTCAAAATCAGGAGCCTTTGTCAAGGAAAGTAAGTTTTTTAAGAGGCGATTGGACGACCATTGGTCTGAAATGGTGCAGGGTCTCCTGCTTGAGCAGTGGGTTGGACTAGAAGACCTCCAAGGCCCCTTCCAACTCTGAATTTGTTTGTTAAAAGGCCTAGGTTTTGTGAGTTACGGCACATGTTATCAGATGGAAATGTTATTGCCAATCAAAATATTAAGACATCAGCGTTGGCCCTGAAAATGAAGATTCAGGTTTTCTACTAGATCAGTGATGGCGAACCTTTTAGAGACCGAGTGCCCCAAAACTGCCCCCCGTCCCCGCTTCGCCCTGCCCACTGGGCCACCCACCACTTCCACGGCCTGCCACAGATCACCCGGGCAGCCCAGCAGCGCCATGGTGGCCATGCCCTCCGCCCGTGCCCTGCAGCATCATCTGCGTGCAATGGGGCGCAAGGGCGGAGTCTTGTCCCCGCTGCCCAGCTACCATGTCCTTGGCTCTGCTGCTTCGTATGGGCCACGCCCAGGGGCAACTCTCCTACGGGGGGGCTAATGATGAGGGGGCTGTGGGAGGAGGTGGGGCTGGGGAGACAGTGCGTGTGCCCACAGAGAGGGCTCCGAGTGCCGGCTCTGGCACCCGTGCCATAGGTTCGCCACCACGGTACTAGATTGTGTACATTCCTGTATAGGTGGTAACAGAATAACAGAACAGCAGACTAACAGCTGGAAGGGACCTTGGAGGTCATCTAGTCCAACCCCCTGCTCAGGCAGGAAACCCTATGCCATTTCAAACAAGTGGTTGTTCAATCTCTTCTTAAAAACGTCCAGTGGTTTTTGACTTATAAGCACAACTGAGCCCAGAATTTCTGTTGCTAAGTGAGACATTGGTTAAGTGAGTTTGGCCCCATTTTACGACCTTTCTTGCCCCAGTTGTTAAGGGAACCACTGCAGTTGTGAAGTTAGTACCGTGGTTGTTAAGTGAACCCAGCTTTCCCCCTTGACTTTGCCGGTCAGAAGATTGCAAAAGGGGATCGCCTGACCCTGGGACACTGCAGCCGTCATAAATACGAGTCAGTGGCCAAAGCATCCCAATTTTGATCACGTGACCACGGGGATACTGCCAAGGTCATAAGTCACTTTTTTTTTAGTGCCGTTGTAGCTTTGATCAGTCATTAAACGAATGGTTGTAAGTTGAGGACTACCTGTACCAAGATACAGGTGAATATCATCATGGCTTTTTTTTTTTCCTTCTAGGAACTTTTGGGAAAGTCACCGCTCAAAAGGAAATACGCTGAAGGGGAAACAAACACTGACAGCTATCCAAAAATTCTCAAAATTGAGTCATTAACTGATGAGGAATGGAATGCTTCCGCTGTAGCGTCTTGCAGCTGTTTGACCATGGATGAACCAGGGACCAGTTATGGATCCACCGGTGGTGGCTTTGTCTCAAGAAGTCAAGGGGGCCTCAACAAAAACCCAGATGACGGTCCAGAGATTGCTGATGGCTGCTCAGATTTATCTGATCCAGGTAGCGTTGTATCCAGGATGCTTCATCTTGAAATTTCAAGAGCATTTCAGTTCATGCATAAAATAGAAACTCTTTTTTGGGAGGTGTGAAGGACAGTTTCTTTTCTGGGTGAGGTTCATTCCAAGGAAGGCCTGAGATAAAGCTGCCACGATACAATGATTGATGAAAAGACCTTTTGATTATTTAAAGGAGCAGTTATCAATGCCTTATAAAAATGGCAAGTAACAGATTATTTATTGGTGTCCCTGCCTTTATTATGTTTATAAATAATTCAGCAAACATACTTAATACTCCTTCCTCCGCCTATTTTTCCCTAAAAAAACAACCTTGTGAGGTGGGCTTTCATGCCTAAGGTGAGACTAGAACTCACCTGGCCTCCTGGTGTCTACCTGTAATGCAAGCTTACATTACCCCAAAGCAATTTTTTTTAAAAAAAGGAGGAAGAGATAGAGTAGGCGTTAATTTGAAAAAAAAATATTGGCTAAGTTGACCTTGACCCCTGTTTGATGGTCCTTCATATAATTCTCTCTGAACCCAAAGAGATCTAAGTTTGGTTTGAAATGATTCAGAGGAGATATGGCCAACCAATATTCCATATATTTTAAGATGATCAGTGGTAATATTCCTTGAAACTATTTTTTTTTAAAAAGGATCTGTATGATCTAGAGACTATCCTAAATTATTCACTTGAGAAATTGTACTTCAATTATTACCTGCCTCAAATTCCCCTTCTCACTTTTCTGCATGGGAGTCCTAGTTTACTTATGGATGCCAGAGAAATTGTGGCATTTGAAGACTCTTAGTAGCTAAGTAGATGGAAGGAAAGAGAAGAAGAGAACAACCAGCAGGTAGATCAGGCCCAGAATTCCTCAGCCAGTGTGCCTGGTTGAGGAATTCTGGGAATTGAAGTCCACAAGTCATAAAAGGGCCAAGTTTGAAGACCCCTGAAGTAGATAGACCTAAGTACATGACCAATGAGGGTCCTTTCAAAAGGCTTGGAGGACTAAGTTAGGGACCTGCCAGAGAAGGTCCATCTATATCACGGGTGGCCTCCATATGATGCAACCGGTCCGTGGGCTGGCATTTTGACACCCCTGATCTATGTAGACACTAAGACTTGATGCTGACTTGATGGAACGTTGTCATAGAAGTAGCTTTTCATTGTGATTTCATTGTGGCTGTTCCTTCACTTTTGTCCTTTCTTTGGCAGAAGAGAACTCCTCGATGAACGTTTCTTCAGAAGAAAAATCCACTGACGATGAAACCGGGGTGAGGGCATAGTCTCCTAGTTCCAGAATGCCACTTCCTTGGCATTCTCCTCATGAGTTTCTGCCCCGATGACTTGTAGACCAACAAATTTGAGGACACCTATCTGTGCCACCTCAAGAAATGATTCACGGATCCTCCTTTCACTGTGTTGACTGGGATAGCAGTATCTCAACTGACCGAGTCATAGATGGGGAAAACAGGTTATTTGGCCCGTTTCATATGATTTCTTGTCATGAAAGGGGAGATCTTAACTTCAATTTATTTACTGCAATATATTGTTGGTTCTTGAAGTTGTTATAAGACTCTTCTCTTGACAATTGAGCTTCATGGTTCAATTCTTCCAGTTTTTACCAAATCATCACGATAGAGGGGACAAGTCAAATAGTTCTGGATCTCCAGAGCATCACACTGCTTGTTCATCTTTTTTGCAGGCCTCAGTCTTGCCTCTGGACATCAATCCTACATCACCAGTTGGCCAGAAAAGCCCAATGAAGTATCCGTGCAGCACATCTGAAGATCTTAGCTTGGAGTCCAAGATCATATTCTTTGACCTCAAGTTTCTGTGTAAGTGGCCTTCGTCTCCAGGATATTTCTGATCATATGTATCCTGGGAGCCAAATGTGGTCATCTTGCCTGAAGTAGGTCAACCCAATCTTCTGTTTCCTAGAATGACCTATAACCACAAAGAGTGGGTGACCCCATCACCTCACCCATGGCCTTGCAGGGGTGCAGGTATCCCCAGAAGACTCCATCATTCGTTCTTCTTCAGTTGTTTCTGTAGAGGAATGTTCTTACTACATGTTGGGTCTCAAAAGTTGATCACAATCTTTTTTTATTTAGCACCCAAGAAGAAATTTTCAGTATCATTTGCTCTTTCAGCATTTATCTCTTTTCCTCCATGCTCCCTAGTACAGGTAGTCCTTGAGTTATGACCACAATCGAGCCCAGCGTTTATGTTGATAAGTGAGAAACGTGTTAAGCGAGTTTTGCCCTGTTTTACGATTTTTCTTGCTACATTTCTTAAGAGAATCACTGCAGTTGTTAAGTTAGTAACATGGTTGCTAAGTGAATCTGGACTCTCCCTTGACTTGTCAGACGGTCGCAAAAGGGAATCACGTGACTGCAACCGTCATAAATGTGAGTCAGTTGTCAAGCATCCAAATGTAAATCACATGACCGTGGGGAGGCTGCAATGGTCATAAGTGTGAAAAGTGATCATAAGTCACTTTGTTCAGTGCTGCTGTAACTTCAAACGGTCACCAACTATGCTGTTGTAAGTTGAGGACTACCTGTATTCTTATTTTTGTTAGGTATGAGAAACATTTTAAGATCCATAACTTTCATCCATCAGCCCAGTCCAATGAAGTCTCTCTTTTCATTGCAGCAGGAAATATCCTTCACCTGGTCGCGCTTGGAGAAGAAATCCTCACTTTCAGTGTCAAGATTTCTTGCCTCAAAAACACAGATGACAAAGTCTGTGTGGATGGACTGGATGAGTTCCTCGAGTATCTCAGCACCCTCCATAGGCCCATTTTTGTGGGATACAAGTTATGGTCCATGGAAGTCCCTGCTCTGCTTGATGCCCTTCGAAAGATCAACAAGGAAAAACAGTTTGAAGAGTCCATCTTTGGTTTCCTGGATGTTTTGCCCTTCATCAGAGAGAAATTCCCTGAAAACCCAAATTATACACTGAAAAAATTAGACAAGATGTATCGTCGGGGACAGTTGGACTGCACCAAGGCAGCTGATTGTGCCTTAGCTCTGAAGGATCTCTGTACCTTCTTGAAAATTATCCCCGTGACCCCAAAAAAGCAGGTAATCGCCTGTTCCAGCTTCAGATGTTACTCCTCCCTTCAACCTCTCTGGGAGAAGAAAGTCCTCACCCAGCCCTCCAGGCGGACTTTGGCCCTACACAACATCTCCCTTCTCAAACTGCAGTCTATCTATCAAAACGACCCCGAGAAAGGGCTAAAGAAACTCTGCAGGCGTTTGAACGCCAAACGGAGGACGGGCGAGAAAAAAATTCAGAGGTTGAGCAAGATCCGCAGCTATTTCCAAAGCCTCCCATCGTCATCTCAATGTTCTTCACTTCCACAGATTTGTTAAGCAACACTCTCATTTTTATGGGATTAGTAATAGTAACAGTAATAAAGTTGGAAGGGACCTTGGAGGTCATCGAGTCCAACCCCCTGCTCAGGCAGGAAACTCTACACCATTTCAGACAAATGGCTGTCCAGTCTCTTTTTAAAAACTTCCAGTGTTGGAGCATTCACCAATTCTGGAGGCAGGTTGTTCCACTGGTTAATTGTTCTAACTGTCAGGAAATCTCTCCTTAGTTCTACCTTGTTTCTCTCTTTGATTTGTTTCCATCCGTTGTTTCTTGTCCTGCCTTCAGGTGCTTTGGAGAAGAGCTTGACTCCCTCTTCTTTGGGGCAGCCCCTGAGATATTGGAACACTGCTATCATGTCCCCCCTCATCCTCCTCTTCGTTAAACTAGACGAATTAAGATTAAGTCACCCCTCTGTACACAAGGGAATTACCTTGAAGTAAAACCACACAGGCTGGCTGGTACATCTGGCCAAAGAGTCTCTGACATTTCTGTGACTTGAGTTTGCATAGACCACATCATCATGTTTTATGGAATCCACTGAAGAGGGTTATTAGGTTGGTGCATTATGCTAAGCCATGAGCTTTGATTTACAAACCACAATGTGACAAGGTCACACAGGACAACACCGTGCAGACCTCATTATGGCTTAAGAAGGCAATGATTCAATCCAACTCAAAAGGCCATCTCCATCCATTTTGGTTTCTCTCGAGGGATTCTTTGCTCATAGAGATGAAATAATTGATGATATTAAATCTGAATGTCCACCACAAAAGCTCAGCTAGTGTTTTAAGAAGCTGAGAACCTCTTCGGTTGTAGTTGGGTGAACTTCAACTACCAGCAGCTCCAAAACAAAAACACCCTAGTAAGTAAGAAAAGCCAGAAATCATAGTTAGCAATATCTGTAATGTCACTTGTGTTGTTTCTTTCTAGTTTCTATGCCTTCCAATCTAAGAAATCTCATGATATATTTTACATATAGATTAAATGCAATGACCATATTAAAAGTTGCAATAAAGTTATAATACCAACAACTTCCTGTGTGAAGTCCCAGACTTAAGTTTGCTCCTGATCAACCTCTTTCCCCTCTCAAAATCTAGTTGGTCACTTGGAATCCGTAAGTATCTGGGTTGTTTTTGAGGTCAAGCCTCTATCCTCAAAATTACATATTGGGAATGTGAGATTATTAAGAACAGACTCCTTCAACAGACTCCTTTTTCCACTATCAATGCAAACCCATAAAGCTATATTATCCTCTTGAGTTTCTCTTCTCCATTTTCTTTGAAACCTGGTCATTAGGACATGTACGTGGTGTTCCTTGCCTTTAGCTGCATATATTCTTCTGCATTGAATCTGAAGCACAAACACATTTTGCTGCACTCTCTTAGAAGCTGACCTTCACATACATGTACAACCCCTGGTTTTTGTATAGAAAATGGTAAAGCTAGAATGCAGAATACAACTATTTTTAAAGCACTGCTTCTCAATCTTGGCAACTTGAAAATGTCTGGGCCCCAATTCCCAGAATTGGGAGGGAATTGAGGTTCAGACATTTTCAAGTTGCCAAGATTGGAAAGCACTGCTTTAAGTTAAGATCTGTTTGTCTTTCCTACAAATATCACATTGTTATACAGTATTTATTTGGGGGGGGGGAGGAGCAGAAGCCTACTATAAAATCCAAGCAGGGATACTTCATCGAGACATCATAGTTTATTTGTAGCTTGTGCAAGGTCTCAGTTCCTTATGCGAACTTGAGATATTATATCAATCTAATCAGATAACCCAAGCAGAGACTTCTTGATCAAGCAGCACTTTATTTGATCAAATTAAGCAGCTGGATGGCCAACAATCTGGAACGCTGGCAGAGTTACGTCCAGAAGTGCTACACCTTAGAAAGTTGGTAGCATTGCTTTATAAACTTGATTAGCCAATGAAAATCAGACATCAATCATTCCTGTACACTCCAATAATAATAATAATAATAATAATAAAGTTGGAAGGGACCTTGAAGGTCATCTAGTCCAACCCCCTGCTCAGGCAGGAAACCCTGTACCATTTCAGATAAATGGTTGTCCCGTCTCTTCTTAAAAACTTCCAGTGTTGGAGCATTCACTGCTTCTGGAGGCAGGTGGTTCCACTGGTTAATTGTTCTCACTGTCAGGAAGTTTCTCTTTAGTTCTAGGTTGCTTCTCTCCTTGATTCGTTTCCATCCGTTGCTTCTTGTCCTGCCTTCAGGCGCCTTGGAGAATAGCTTGACTCCCTCTTCTTTGGGGCAGTCCCTAAGATACTGGAAGACTGCTATCATGTCCCCCCTCGTCCTTCTCTTCATTAAACTAGACATACCCAATTCCAGCAACCGTTCCTTATATGTTTTAGCCTCCAGTCCTCTAATCATCGTATTCCCTCCTTCAGTATATCGCATCCATGTACATGTTTGCCACGCTTGCATGAAATTTCTCTGGTGCAAAAGCCGATTACAAAAAGCAAGAAAGCAACAGACTAAACGATTCCCCTTTGTTCCAGAACCCTTCACTTGTATGGTGTGACCCAGCCCAGAAGATCGGGAATTTCCAATTCCCACAAGGATTAACCTTGCAAGTCCATGAGTGGCTGAGCTCACACATTCTGCAGCTAAAACATGGCTAATGTTAGATTCTTTTGAACCAGCCAGAATGCCTGTCTAGTAATAAACTAGCATATATGAATTAGGGCTTCCAAACATGACCAACTTAATTTTTATACAGCAACTAAGTAAAAAGAAATTAAGCAGTTCAGCAACATGTCCCCTGTTTGATATGTGTAATTTTACTCAAAAACACTGGAATAATTTACCCAAAATATCTGAAAGCGGTTGATCACCCACTGCTGTACTGTATTCATTCAGACATTGGCCTAAAGCAGGGGTCTTCAAATTTGGCCCTTTTATGACTTGTGGACTTCAACTCCCAGAATTCCTCAGCCAGGCACGCTGGCTGAGGAATTCTGGGAGTTGAAGTCCACAAGTCATAAAAGGGCCAAGTTTGAAGACCCTGGCCTAAAGCAAACCTCATTCTAGACCTGGGTTCAAATTCCCTACCTGACCTCAGAACTTGGGAGAGAAAGCAGTCAAGTCAAGCTCCCTCCAGCCTACCTTGTTTCTGCAGGGATAAAATTAGGGGAGATTCTTACATAAATCATATTAAGCACCCAGAGGAAAGGTGAACCTCTTGTTATTATTGCTTTGAGTCTGAGGGTCTCTTAGATGCCATCCTTCTTTGTCTTGCAGGTTCAAGACATGGTGGACCTGCCTAAAATTCTTCTCCCAGTTTCTAAGTCTTGTGGAGGCTTCTATCTTTTCTCCTCCAGATCCTTCTTGTGTGTCTCTGGAGATTCTCAATCATCCAGGTCATGGTTGTCCCACAGGTACTTTTTTCCAAAAGGCAACAGGACTTTCTTAACAGAAGAACAGTCGGAAGGGACCTTGGAGATCTTCTAGTCCAACCCCCTGCTCCAGCAGAAAACCCTATACCATTTCAGACAAATGGTTGTCCAATCTCTTCTTGGTTTTTTTTCCTCTGAAAACAGTCCACTTCTCATCCATTAAGCTTCTTCTGAAGAACGGAAGAAGCTTCTTGGATAAGAAGCAAAATATTTAAAAACAAACAAACAAACCCCCAAAAGTCTGCTTGCCTTTTGGAAAAAGCACCTTTGGGAATACTCAAATCCTCTTTGGCCCTATGCAAATCTAAGTACTTTCAGAAGAGTGGCTGAAACTTTTAACCTACATTAATCTCTCCTTCCCTCCCTCTGGCTGCAGAGCGCTTGCAGCTGGGGGAGATGCAAAACTTCATTATTATTTTGGGTGCTTTGCAGGATTTGCACTGGCTGCAAAGGGAGCTGATTAGCTGCCTGATTATCGAAGTCAGGTGAGAGGAGGTTGGCCTTCAGGAGTTGGAATAAAAAGGATCCTGGGCAGATGCTGGTCTCTTCTTCTCCGGCTTCCTAGAACAGACAGGATGGGACCGTTACAGAACTTGGCCATTGTTTTAGCTTGTTGGGTAATTGGGGAAGTGACCTCCTTGGATCCCTGGGATTATGTCTGGGGGCATTACAACACTCCTGCCCCTGCGAGGCAGCCTTATATGCCTTCTGGGGTTGAGACTTACCCTTATGCTTGGGTAGATGCTTCTCAGGCCCGAGCTTTGTCCCTCCTGTCACCTGTGCTGGTCCAGTGTGGAGAGGCCCAGGTGATGGTGACTGTGAAGAGAGACCTGTTTGGCACCGGCAGACTCGTCCAGGTAGAGGGCCTGAGTTTGGGTCCATCTGGCTGCCAACCCACAACCTACAATGCTGCCGAGAACACGGTGATCTTCAATGTCGGTCTTCATGAGTGCGGGAGTGTCTTGCAGGTAAGGGTGGGAGAGTCTGCAAACCCGTGTTTTTCCCATGCCAAGAAATTCCCCTTGTATGTTGCAAGCACTAAATCCACTTCTGGTTTATTGCTGCATCTCCCTGGTCTCATCTTTCCTTCTTTTCTCTAGATGACTGCTGAGTTTCTGGTCTACAGCATCAGTCTCCATTATAAGCCCACCCCTTCTTCCCACAGTGTCATTGTAAGAACCAGCCCAGTCGACGTCCCCATTGAGTGTCACTACCCAAGGTAAGTTCGGAGGACGAAACTAACAAAAATGTGGGGTTGGCTTGACTGTTTGGGGCAGGGGTCTTCAAACCTGGCCCTTTTATGACTTGTGGGCTTCAACTCCCAGAATTCCTCAGCCAGAGGCATGCTGACTGAGGAATTCTGGGAATTGAAGTCCACAAGTCATAAAAGGGCCAAGTTTGAAGACCCCTGTTCTAGAACCCAAGTACCAATAGAACAGGGGTCTTCAAACTTGGCCCTTTATGACTTGTGGACTTCAACTCCCAGAATTCCTCAGCCAAGCACGCTGGTTGAGGAATTCTGGGAGTTGAAGTCCACAAGTCATAAAAGGGCCAAGTTTGAAGACCCCTGGTTTAGGGGGACGGATGGTCACCTTGAGGGTGGGAGATGAGAACATGCTGTTGGATAAAAGAACTGAGCCATCTCTTTCTAGCCGGTGGTCCCAACTAGTTTACCAAAGCCGGTAGAGCAATGGCGCCATATGGTTCGTGGAATAAATCAGCGTTACAGAGTTAGCATGAGACATGAAACCAAAAACCAATTAACCCCCATCATGGCTTAGAATGGATCCAGAATTTGGCATGGTTGAAGGAAGAGACTTGGCTGCTACTTAGGTGGAATCCTTGATGCTGAGTTTGATTGTGTCTAGAAAACCACCAAGCTCAGAACACACCAAGGATTTCATAATTCTGAGCTATAAATATTCTATTGCAGGGGTCTTCAAACTTGGCCCTTTTATGACTTGTGGACTTCAACTCCCAGAATTCCTCAGCCAGAGGCATGCTGGCTGAGGAATTCTGGGTGTTGAAGTCCACAATTCATAAAAGGGCCAGGTTTGAAGACCCCTGTTCTAGAGGATGAAATAGTGTATCACTTTCTTCACCCATGGCAACAGAATTTCTGAGACTAGCCCTGGTGGGGGGGGGGAAAACCACTAAATCACTTGTTCTCTTTGGGAGACTTTACCTGTCTTTATTTCCAGGAGAAACAATGTAAGCAGTAATGCAATCAAGCCAACATGGATTCCGTTCACATCAACGATTTCTGCAGAAGAAAAACTACGTTTCTCCTTGCGTTTGATGAATGGTACTCCTTTTTATGTGGTTGCTAGGAGTTGGAAATGACTTGATGGCCCATAATTGCTTCCAGAATCCCCCTATTTCTTCATGAGTCTCATGAACACGAGGGTCCAATGAGATTAAACCTTAACTGTGCACAAGTAACTTTTTCTTCACATTGGCATTAGTCAAACCATTTTTAAACTGTTGGTTAAAAAAAATTGACCCCACTTTCACATTGCTTTGTGTATGAGGCCAGATAATGTTTGTCCAAATAGTCATATGTGCATGTGTACATATGCCACGCAAACCATGTTACAGAATTGTGCACATGTACTTCCTCAAGTCCCAATTTTGCAAAGCTTCTGACTTTTTATGGCGATTTCAGAATTGCTAATAGTCCTTCAAAATTCGGGGGGGGGGGGGAAATGCAGATATCGGTGTACATTCTGGATTCTGCATATTTCAGAAGACTGCAGCCGATCCAAAATTTAAAAATGGTTTGACAGGCCAATATAAGAATTAAGATGGGATGCACATTGGTTTGCGGATATGATACATGGGAGAGAAAAAAGACTGTTTGTCCAAGTTGCATTCCTGATCTGAACTGGGCTCACTTAGGTTGAAATTTGCATCCAAGAAGTCCTTCCATGTTGGGTATGATGGTTTTGCTTTTCAGATGGCTGGAGCGCAGAGAGAGCCTCCAACGGCTACCAGTTGGGAGAAATCATGTATATTCAGGCTGAAGTAATCGCAGAAAACCACACGCCTCTCCGGCTCTTTGTTGATAGCTGTGTGGCCACGTTGAGCCCAGAGGCAGACTCCAGTCCCCGCTATCCCATCATCGATTTCAAGGGGTAAGAGTTCTGACTATCTCTCTTCGCACCTGCACTGAACATTTTTATGTGAGATAACTCACTGCTCCTGGAGATCTTAAAGTTGCTTGTTCAGTAGCAAAACTGCACTATGTCCACCTAAAATGGTCATCACTATGGGGTAGAATGGCCATCGGGAGCAATAACCTTGCTTACATATGAAAATTGCTAATAAAGGAGAATATTTGGGTTGAAATGAGGGGTCCTTGATGCTGCTGTAACCTAGTTTGAGTAATGAAATGTCTGCAAGAAAACAACCAAGCTCAGAGGGCGTCAAGAACCCCTCGTGAAACTTGCTAAATTTGTACGAAGAATCAGGTTTTCCCTTTTTATCTTTTGCCTTCTGGCTCTTACTTGCAAGAAGGTTCTTGTTCTATGCTTGCGTCCACAAAGAAAGCCATCAACTCATCCCCATTATCACGGCTGGGTTGTTAAATCGCCTCCTGACCTGCTTTTCTCTCTCTATTACATACAAATTATATTTTAACTTGAAGTGATGGCGCTTATTGCTTCGGTTTCTATCTATCCCCTTGTGTGTCATTTGTGTTTGAGGGTAATCCGGCAGGTAGTGTGGTTTTCCCTGGTCATTTTGAAGGATCAGATGAAGGAATATATGAACAGATGAGGCCCTGGGGATCAGAGGAAGGAATGTCTGTGGAGATAATATGAATTCTGAGAGAAATGTTTTCTCTTGTCTTCATGTCACGGCCTCAAAACAAGCGAGAAAAAAAAGCTTTTCTTTCATCGTGCTTACTGTCCAGTTGTAATAGGGGATTTGCAATACAAGCTTGCTAACAGTTGCCAATACTTGATAGCATTACGAGGAGGGCTATGGTGGAAAGAGGCCGGGGGAGACATAAACAACGAAGCAAGGCAGACTGTTGGGTGCAAGAATAGCTCGCTTACAAGAAAAAAAAACCAAACCACATAGCTAGAACATAGAACTAGAAACTTCGCAAGATAGCCGTGACCTGGGGTAGGCAACAGGAGGTGTGACATTTAGCTGTTTTGCACAGCAAGTGAGAAAGCTTTAGAGGGCTGTAATCCAGGTAACCAATTTATATTATATGTAATGCATGCATTATTAGGGGGAGGGCAAAGGGATGTATGTGATTCACCATCAACTATAAAAATTGCTATAAAACTGTAATCAGGGCCTTGGCTGCTTTCAAAGCCAGGGTCCTTATATCTTGGTACCAAAATAATTGTCTCACACCTTCTCTTTGGTGATCCATTGGCTTCCACACCAAGCTAAGGCCCAGTTTTGGGGACGACAATTTCTGAGCCAGACTGGGAGCTTTGGGGCTAAAGAACAGACTCGCAATTTCATTGAAACGCGAGGTTCAGATAGGCCTGTTGTTTGCACAAGCACGCTAAAAGGCAGAGTGCACTAATGTGTAACCAAGTGTGTCAATAGTAGGAAGCATTGTTGATGGGTGTTGTGTCCTCCAGCTGCCTGGTAGATGGAAAATCTGATTCCAGCTCAACCTTCTTATCACCAAGGCTCAGAGATGACTTTCTTCAATTCACAGTAGACGTCTTCCGGTTTAGCGAAGACCCCCGAGATCTGGTAAGAGGTCGCCTTCTGAAGCCCAGCTCCTAGCAGGCAATATTTTTGAAGTCTCACTCTTCGTCATGCCGTAACCTAGCTTAAACCACCTTTTATCTTGTTCCTAGATCTACATCACCTGTCATTTGAAAGTCTCTGCGGCTACTCAAGCCCCCGATCCTGAGAACAAAGCTTGCTCCTTCCATCAGGCTAGTAACAGGTAAGCAAACTGACATTCCTACAGGGTGATGCCACTGTGCTAAGCCACGTGTCACTGTAGGAGGACCTTAGTAGGCTTAGTCGACCGAAATGTGAACATGCAACTAGCTTCTTTGATATAATTTATCTGCTTCTTTGGAGAAAAATGTTTTAGATTTGTTTTATTTTGGAAGACTTAGTGATTATCTTGTTTTGAGCTACACACCAATAGTTTGGAAAATGGTTTCTAACCTAACTGGCTATTGCATACTGTTCTGATTCCAAGAGAGATTAATTTATAAGCATTAAGGACCTTCTCGGCTTCATACAGTGGTTTGAAGAACACACTTTTCCATATTTGAAGACCTGTTCCATAATTGAGTGTCCTGATAGATGAACCTATTAGATATCTCAACTTTGTATACTAGTTCATATGCCAGATTTTTCTCTTACCCGTAACCTATTAAATGACTTATTCAAAATATTAACATTTGTTATAGAGGGGTTAGCTATGCTTGGTACAAATAGAGTAAAGATATTTTGCATATAGTGAACTTAAGAGGTTTGCATAACCACAGATGGGGGAGTTCATTAAGCAGAAACCAACCTGGGTTCCAACTTAACAACCTTGTAAGCCCAATTGCTCTTAGGCTAAGTAGATCAATGGTTGAACCTAAGAAATTAACTACCAGTAATTTAGGATATAGCCAGATATCCATCCTTTGGTCTATTAAGAAGGGGAAGTATTGGATGAAATCTCATTATATAGGCGCAACCTTACAGGAAATGTTTCCCTTTTTTCACCACAGCTGGGTTCCAGTTGAAGGAACCGCAGTTATTTGCTCTTGTTGTGAAACCCAGAATTGTGTTCGAACTACTGGTCAAGGCAGCTGGGACAGATGGGGAAGAAGATTGGGCAGAGATGTGGCTGCTAAATTGGGTATGTAGTCAAGATTAGGCGGCATAGGAAGCGAACTATTCCCTTGAATGATATTCAAAAGTAGCTGTTCTACTTCTGGAAATATTAGATGAGGGTCAATCATGTCACATTCTCTGAGATTGCCTGGACCAAGCCTCTGTAGTTTTCTTGGCAAGGTTTCTCAAAAGTGGCTTATCATTGACTCTTTTCTAAGACAGGGAGAAGGTGACTGGCCCAAGGTTACCTAACTGGGACTAGAACTCACGGTCTCCCAGTTTCTAGTCTGATGCCTTAACTAGTACACCAAACTGGCACTCTCCACCTTAACACGAATGTCTTGTTAATCTTGTTCTCATGCAGATAAATCAAAGGAGGCAGATGCTGACGTGATGCTCGGTCCCATCCTCATTCTTGACTCGTACATGACTTCCAGAACTCCTCCTGACAATCAAAATAAGAATTTGGTCCTCTCAGCAGAACATGGTACTGTAACATGTTAATTATGGAGTTCAAACATTGTGTTAATCCATTATTTGCTGACTAAACCATAACTGGATATATTCATACCACTTGCTAAATCAGAGGTGTGTGGCTTTTGTAACCTTGGGGCTGCAACAGCCCCCATAAATTTTCCATGTGATTACAATTTTTTGATCTGACAGTCTGCAACCATTACTCCCACTAGATGTAGTATTAACTGTATGAATTTCAGTGAAATTCTATATAATTGTTTGACTTGGAGCCAGAAGAATGGAATCGGTTGAAGTTAGCCTTATTCTTTCAACAGACTGGCAATAATCTCGCCCAATTATAAATTCACACGGAACTTTTGTTAAGATCTTTGACAGTAGCAGGAGATTCTCCGAGCAGAAATTTGGGATAAAAGTCACCTCAATGGCACTTGCTTATCATTAAGTTCCACTCTTTAGGTTTGAAGGGAAGGGAATCCAGAATGTTAAGCTCTTTGTTTTCTACCGTGTATGATATTCTTTACTTTTGATTTTCACTGCAAAAAAAAGCTGTTTAAGAGAATCCAGTACTGTTCTGTTCTTTTTTACAGGATTTTTCCAAATTCCTTGGATGCTGGTGGGGATCATCCTGATAGCCCTTACTACAAGCTTGGCCTTGACCACTCTAGGAATCTTTTGTACTAGAAAAAGACGTTCTAATTCTTCTTAAGATGTTGTGCAATGTGGAAGGATGTTAAAATAAACAAATCAAGACATAAAAAAGACTTGTTTATTGAACAAGGTGGAGGGGAAAAAACAAATACAATGGTGCTTGCATAGAAAACATCTCGGAAGCAACAAAACAAAGATTAAGTGATTTGTACCTGCTAGGACCGTGTTCACTTCAAAAAAATAATACAGAATTCCTTTGGACCCCACACAACCATCACATCTCCCTGCTCTTAACTGAAGTAAGGCTTGCTTTTTCAAGGCTGCAACTGAGCCTGAAGAACAAGGAGTGGTTTAAAGAGTTGCATTCACTATTAAGATTGCAAAGATACTTTCTTATAACTCCCATTCAATCCTCTATGGGTCCTCCTAAGGTTCTGGTTTAATGTTATGTTAGGATATGACTTGCTTCAAAGTAGTTTGATAAATAATGCCATGTGTGAACTTGGTTGACTGTGGTTTAAATCAAACATTTGGGTATATGCTAAGTGTATTCAGCTTAAATCTTTAACATCACTTCATAGAACTGCCTTGTAAATAAAACACAAATTAACTGAACAATGAAAACTGGGTTTCTCGAGAACAAACTAGTCCATTGACTCTCATTTCCTATTTTAAAGTTGTTAGAAGTAAGTCTTCATCCTGGTTCATCCAAGCCGGGAATAAATAAGCAAACATGGCGACTGCTTTGGGAAGAAGGTTACAGTTTATTGCAGAAGAAAGATGGTCCTTGCAAGAAGCAGCAGTGGAGAAGAAAGAGAGGGAGCACATGGGCAGAAGGTCTTTTTATACCCTCTACCCCTGCTTGGAATAGTTTCCAGTTCCTGTGGCATGAACTTTGGGGCTATTTCTGAGTGTTTTTCTAGGCCTTGATATCTGTGGTTTAATCCCATTATCATATCCTGCTTCCCAGGTGATGGGGCTGATGACTCTTAAGAGCTTCTTTTGTCTTGAGATCCCTGGCTCCAAACTTCCTGATGGTTCCACATCTGCATATGTATAAGACTAGCTACTGCTTTGGGCAAAGAGACGAGGCTAGGTTTGGTTTCTGCTTTTCAAAAAATGCTTTTAAAAATCCTTTTGGTGAACAACATCTTTCTTTCTGCCTTTTTAATATTTCCTTCTCTGGGTTAACTTCCCACAAAGTTCACCCCTCAAAATTACCAGCTCCTCTTATCATGCTGCAAATTTATTCATTTATTTAAATGTGTTGCCCAACCAGCTCCAACGAACTCTGGGCAGCCTGCAGAACTAAAGAACATTAAAAACAGCTTAACATATTGACTCGTTTTTGTTTTGCAGATTTGGGAGGAAGAGTACAGTGAAAAGCAGGATAAGGGCTCTGATTTAAAAAATGCTGCAGAGAAGTCCACTAATTTCAAATACAACAGAATAGTTTGTTTTGACCAAGTGTGATTAGTCACGCAAGGAATTGTGTTACAGTTTCAAACAAAAAGCCATCGAGGTGGGCAGCCAGGAAAGCCTCCCCAAAGTTCATTTTGTATAATGAATTAGTAATAGACGTGGAAAGGCGAGATTTTGAAGTAAAGGCTGAAAAAGGGCTAAGACATGCATTAGCTCTTTTAAAACCTGCAGTTCCCACGACCGACAGGAGAACACGTGTCGCTACAGCAAGAAGCAAGAGCCTCTGACGGTCAGCTGACTTGTTCACGGTCAGCTGATTGCTAGGGAAGCTCTTCAGGGATTGGCTAGAATGAAGCAAACTAAAAAAAAAAAAGGAAGCTCTTTAGGGATTGGCCAGAAAGAAGTAAATAAGGGAAAGCTCTTCAGGAAATGGCTAGAAAGCAGACAGCTGGAAAAAAAAGAAAAGCTTTTCACGGATTGGCTAGAAGGAAGTCAGCTGATACAAGGGGAGCTCTTCAGAGATTGGGTAGAAAGGAGAAGTCAGGTGACTCGCTTTGTATAGGGAGAAGAGTGTCGCTCAGTTCAGGGGAAGATGGTGAGTGGAGGGAGGGAGCTTTATTGCTAGCAAGGCGGGAAAGGGGGGGGGGTATTTTAAAGGATTAGAGGAGAGAAAGCCCAGATCTTTAAAAGAAAAATTGGTGCAAGTGCAGAGTAGTGCATTTGTCAGTGCAAAATCTCAGCAATTCTAAAATAGGTGGACTTCAATTCCCAGAATTCCCCCAGCCAACTTGAATTCGAGGAGTTGGAATCCACCTATGCTGGCTGGGGGGGGATTCTGGGAGTTGGAGTCCACCTATGCTGGCTGGGGGGAATTCTGGGAGTTGAAGTCCACCTATGCTGGCTGGGGGGGAATTCTGAGAGTTGGAATCCACCTATGCTGGCTGGGGGAATTCTGGAAGTTGAAGCCCATGCATGCTAGCTGGATGAATTCTGGGAGTTATAACAACAATAATAATAAAGTTGGAAGAGACCTTGAAGGTAATCTGGTGTAACCCTTGGCTCAGGCAGGAAACCCTATACCACTTATGCTGGCTGGGGGAATTCTAGCAGATGAAGCCCATGCATGCTAGCTGGAGGAATTCTGGGAGTTATAACAACAATAATAATAAAGTTGGAAGAGACCTTGAAGGTAATCTGGTGTAACCCTTGGCTCAGGCAGGAAACCCTACACCACTTACGCTGGCTGGGGGAATTTGGGCAGATGAAGCCCATGAATGCTAGCTGGAGGAATTCTGGGAGTTGAAGTCCACGCGTGCTAGATGGAGAATTCTGGGAGCTGGAGTCCATGCATGCTAGATGATGGGATTCTGGGAGCTGAAATCCACCCCTCTTAAAATTGCTGTGATTGAAAAGTACTCAGATTTTCTTTCTTCCTGCCAGAGGTTTCGATTCTGTGGAGATTTGGACTGTCCTGACTGGGTCTTGGCAGAAATTAGCACTTTGGCTAAAATAGTAAGTGATTCCCCCACCCCCTTGAGTTCCACGAATATTTTAATTATTTTAAGGTGTGGGGGTTGCTGGCATTTTACTACCTACTTGAAGCTGGATTTGCCCCATTGTAAGATTTTTCCTGACAACTATCGTTTTCCAAGGGAGGATTTAAAAAAAAAACAAAGATGATGGTTATGACACATTTTTGTCTTTTTCCAGTCTTCGGTGAAACTCAAGCTGATCTGTGCCCAGGTTCTGAAAGATGTGCTCGGAGAGGGCATTGATGTGAGTTCATTCTCAATCTCTTTTGTGGATACTTGTCAAACTTGGTTTGCATAAATCCAGAATCGGTAAGAGAGAAGCACTTTCCGATTAAACCTGTGGAATGTTATTTTTTAAATAATAGATTCATAAATCAGTTGCCCCATTCATAATTGTGTTTCCATGGCAATTGAGTGCTTAGATTAGTGGCTCCCAAAAGGTGTGCTGTAAATTGAAAATTCTGTGATGAATTAAAAAAATCTCCTTAGAGCTGTTGGGACTTCCCCAATGTTAAGTTTGAGCTGAGCTAAATTAGAAATTGTTCTTTTGTCTCTTTCAGTATGACAAAATCCTGAAGTTAACATCAGATGCCAAGTTTGGTGAGTGTCCTTCCCTTCTATGTTCAGGGGCTAAGTTAGGGTACAGCTAAGCCATTTCCTACCCTGCCAACATTTCTCAACTGAAAATTGAGCATCAGGGTTGCATTTATTTTCTGAGTTTAGTATTGGTGTTGAAAGCAAATTTGTGCATGGGGTATGCACGCAAAGTGCTGTGGTTCCTTACTTCAACTGGTATCTTTTTGCAAGAGACTTGCAAAATTGGTCATATCCAAGCATCCAGAAAAATATGGCAGATCCTGTACAGTATCTCTGCCTTACATGTTCATTCCAAACTACAGAGGTGAGTGTTTCTCAACCTTGACAGCTTTAAGATATGTGTCAACGCTGCTAACAGTAGATGTTTTTGCATTGACAAAGATGGAAATCTAGCCATCTTTCACCTTTCGCTTTTAGAGTTAAATGATGCTGGGAGGGGGGGATGTGAATGAGAGTCCAGCTAGACATAACAACACTAAACGTAGCATGAGAATCAAGGTTATTAAGCCCAGAGCTGATAAAGAATTGGCGGGCTGGAGAGCTGGAGAGGAAGCCCACGCTTCAAACTAATTGGGGAATTTGATTTATGACTGTAAATTGGAGGAGGGAATTGTGCTTTGATACTAGGTGCCCAGGGGAGGGGAATTCAGGTTTTGGCTTTGATTATGCAGTGCCGATATTATGCTATACAAATAAAAGATTCTTTAAGGTAAACAATGCCTCGAAGTTCTTTTGAAGAGTTTTATCTGTTGGAACCATGTGTGAACTTCAATTCCCAGAATTACCCAGCCAGCCATGATACTGACATAGACCGTGGTTACGTTCTTTTCCAAAATGTTGATCCCCAATAGGTAAATTTTGAACAAAATGATAGTAGTTTCAACAAACCTACACAGTTTTGGAGCAATTCATGGCCTTGGGCTAATGACAGAGTGGTGTTTTTCTACCTTAGCAACTTTAAGATGTGCGCACTTCGACTCCCAGAATTCCCCAGCCAGCATAAGTCACTTACATCCTTTTCAATAACACGGGTTAATCTGAAGCTCAAATAATTATATTTCCTTTCTTTTCTGCTGCAGAAATTGGAGACGTGAAAGCCACTGTGGCTGTTCTCAACTTTATTCTCTCAAGTGCCGCCAAATATAACGTGGACTCCGAGTCTCTCTCTAGCGAACTTCAACAGCTGGGGCTGCCCAAAGGTGATTTTTGGGGTTATTGCTTTTAAAAACATAAAATATTAACGGTTCCTCAGAATAACCTCTAACCATAAATAAAACTTTAAAAAATTGACGGAGTTAGAAGCCAGCGGGAGAATGAAATTAGGTATACCAGGGGTGGGGAACCTTGGCTCTTTTATGATTCGTGGACTTCAACTCCCAGAATTCCTGAGCCAGCATGGCTCAGCTTGGAAACCTCTCCCTTTCCCCTCAGCATGGCTGGCTCAGGAATTCTGGGAGTTGAAGTCCACAAGTCATAAAAGAGCCAAGGTTGCCTACCCCTGGCCTAGGCCTAGGCCGCTTTATGACTCGTGGACTTCAATTCCCAGAAGTCCTGAGCCAGCATGGCTCAGCTTGGAAACCTCTCCCTTTCCCTTCAGCATGGCTGGCTCAGGAATTCTGGGAGTTGAAGTCCACAAGTCATAAAAGGGCCAAGTTTGAAGACCCCTGACTTAGTGGATGTCTTGGTTGCAGAGCACGCCGCAGGATTGTGCCGGTCCTACGAAGAGAAACAGAGCTCTCTCCAGGATAGCCTGAGGAAGTGCAGCCTGAGATGTAAGTCAACCTCCTTTGCCGGTGACAAAACGAACGGTCACTTTAGGGAAACTGTCCACTGCAGCCTTTTCCCCCTGGGCTGAGAGGTTTTTGCTTTCTTATGGGAAGATTTCTCAGCACCCCGAGGGGCTCACAGGTTGATTGGAGAAAGATTCTGTAAAATGCCAACAAGGCTGAACCGCCCTGTCAAGGAACACACAAAACTGCTCTTCTGAGACTGGAATTTTCAGAGCACCCGGGAATACAGGTAGTCCTTAATTTACGACCAGACGTTTAGCGACTGTTTGAAGTTATGACAGACCCTTAAAAAGAGATTTACGACTCAGATTCAAAGTTTTGATGCCTAGACCCCCTTTGTAGTCACATGACCGCATTTGGGGCGCTCAGCAACCGGCCTGCATTTACGGCGGTTGGAAAAGCAGATGGAATTCTGTTTCTGGTGCAACTATTTGACTTGGTGTTGTTTTTTTTAAAAAAAAAACTGTTCCTGTTTCTTCTCTTTTCTTTTGGAGAGTTGCAAGTAGCAGATGAAACACGAATTAAAAATTGCAGTAGATTTTGGAAGCTGTGATTGGGTGAATTCCTTGGCAATGCTCTTGACACATGCAAGAGGACTAGTGTCTTGCACAAAGGATGTGCCTAAACGTTTGATTTTTTTTTTTGCCTGCAGTGAGTTGCCTGGATTCTGTTTCGTGGAGAGTGGATTATACGCTTAGTTCCAGCGAGCTACGGCAGGTCAACGAATCTGTCGTTCACCTCAAGCTGAACGTGAAAGATGTCGACCGGAAGGTGACAGAGCCCGTGGCAATGACGTTGTCGGCTGAAAAGTTTCGCGTCTTACTTGCTGGTGAGGAGCTAAATATTTTTTACAGCTTGGAGGTTCAGGGGTTGCTTGTATCTGCCAGAGCCTTATAACAAGAAAGGCATCAGCAAACTCCTTAGCTCTATTTAAAGAGGCAAAACATTCCAATTTCTCTTTTAACATCTCCAACGACAACAGGTCTCAATCCTTTACCTTTCCATCTGCCTCTTTCTAGTCATCATAGTGGGCACCACTTTGTAGAAGAAACAGAAGCCAGAAGTCAAGACTGCTTTATCACTACAGCATGGAAAGATACATATTTTAAAAAGGAACAAACCTTGCAGTGTGTCCTTTAATAATCTGAACAGGGTTGCAGTAGAATTCTGGTGAAAATTGTTCAGGATGTCCCATTTTATGGCATCCCAGAGACATCCCTGTCCTGGCCTTGGTCTGCTTAATATCATTCCTGGCAGGACATAAAGCAAAATCTTTGAAATTAGACATTTCATGGGAGCAAAGGGATATATTTATTTTATTACATTTTTGTGGGATTCTTGTTGGCTCCTGGAGGCGTGTGGTCTTTTAGGCCACTTATATTTGTCGTTAGAGTCCTTTCTTCTTTTTTTAACCTCCTATTTTTCCTCCTCAGAACTAAAACAGGCTCAAGCCATCATGAAAAGCCTCGACTAAGGAACCCCGGATACTATCAGGTCTAGTCAGAAAAAGCTTCATTTTGACCACAGACCAAAATGTCTCCACTGGATAGTGATCTCCCAGCCTATGAGATACAAGCAAAGCAGCCAGATGGGCTTAATGTCCATTTCCTAATAGGCCAGACCAGCAAAACCAGTGTGTGTGTGTGTGGTGTGTGTGTGTGTGTCCGGAGTGTGGTAGTATAGGGACATCTCGGTCACAAACGTCCAACCCCTGCCTTAGGAGAAGTCTATCTGTTTTTATGTTTTTTCATTTGAGTATCAGTTGTCAAGGAAAACGTAGCACAGGTTTTGCTCTTGTGGCTCTGCCTTAGAAATATGCAAATGCTGCCTTGGTTTTTTTTTCTGTATTTCATTAAAAGCAGAAAATTAAATCCCACATATGTGGCGAAAGCTACCTTTGTTGAGTCTGTGTATTGGGCAAAGCTGTGGCCTCGTTGCTTTGGGCTGGAAATGAGATTAAAAAACGGTTTGATGTTTGTTCGTTTTAAGGTTTGAGTCCCGAGCGAGGCACATAAGCAAATTTGTTGGAAATCGGAATTTCTCAACTTCAGCAACTTTTCAGCCGCGTGGACTTCAGCTCCCAGAATTCTCCAGCCAGCATTCTGGGAATTGACTCCATACGTCCTGGCTAAGGAGTTCTGGGAGCTGAAGTCCACACATCTGAAAAGTTGCTGAGGTCGAGATACGCTGGTTTAAATGAAATGTCATCACCCCGTTGTTCAAGCCAGCCACCTCCTGGCTTAATAGTGTAAAGCATTTGAACAAGGACCAGAGAAATCCAGGTTCAATTACTTCCATATCCACAGAAACGTAACCACGGTCTGTAAGTTCTGGATAGTCGCTTCTTGGCCCAGCCTACCTCACTGGGTTGTTGCTATGGGGGAAAAAAGGCTGAAGGAAGCTTCTTGGATCTCCTGCCTGAAAAGCTGTTACATCTCAAATACATGAATAAATAAGCGGACATTTGATTTGCTCAATCCTGAAGTCAGTACCTGTCTTTCACCTCTGTCACACTCAGCTTTGACAACAGTATCAACCCTGGGTATTTCAGGGGGAGCCTGCCAAGTGGTTTTATAGGTTTAAATGGCGTCTGTTCTTCTATTGGGGGAAGCGTCTTTTACGTTTTTATATATATTTTTGTTACTGATGTTTATGATTATTTCTCCCATTATCTTTCAGATTTTTTTTGTATAGTATGTTTAGCCTTATGATAATGATTTTAATTGTTACTATGTTTGCCTGCTACCCAGATTCTAATAAAAGAGAATATTTACAGCTCAGAACTGAACTGTGGAGTTCTTGGTGCTGTCTCTGCTAGGTTGTTTTCTTGCAGACATTTCATGACCCAGCTAGATAACATCAGTGCTGACCTAGAGTCTCTTTTGGTTAGAAGAGCCACTATACAACAACTTTTAATAATATGAATTAATCTGTGGGAAAGAATAGAGTAAAGTAGAGTAGGATGGGATGGGATGGGATGGAATAGATTGTAGAATAGAATAGAATAAAATAGAATAGAATAGAATACAAATAGATTGTAGAATAGAATAGAATGTAATAATAATAATAATTATTATTATTGATTGATATCGCTGTACCAGGAGATGCCAGAGTCGAAGAAAAAGAACTGGAAAAAATTACAAAATATCGCGACCTGGCCATCGAAACTGCGCAATTATGGATGAAACGTGTAACAGTGGTACCCATTGTCATCGGGGCACTGGGAACTATGTCCAAAAACTTTGCAAAACACATCAAGAAACTGCAGCTTCCTGCAATAACTCCAGCAATGTTACAAAAAAATGCGCTACTCGGAACATCTTATATTTTAAGGAGATACCTGGTTGACACCTAGGATGCTGGTAGCAACCCGTGTCAACCATCAGCGCCAGCCAATTTGAATGTTCAGTTGACTGAAGTTCATGTTTAATGAATAAAAGATAATAATAACAACTTTATTGTCACTTTGAATGTACACCAATCGGCATACACCAAAATGAAATTTTGTTACATACAGCTCTCAAAGAGTCACCACCTCCGATATACACTCCTTGTTCCTGAATGTAGAATGTAGAATAGAATAGAATAGAATGTAGAATAGAATAGAATAAATTGTAGAATAGAATAGATTGTAGAATAGAGTAGAATAGAATATAGAATAGAATATAGAATAGAATTGTCATTGTGTAACAACGAAATTAAGTGCTGTCCACAGTGCACGCTACACACAAGTAAAAACAAGTAAAACACATATACACACATTCTTCACAATCTATTCACCATTGCGCTGCCCCTAATATTGATTGCACTTCAATGTTGCACTATACAGTAGTATTTAATATTAATACTAAAACGATTGCTTTAAACCATCTTTGTCAAATCCACACCAGAAGCTCGGTGCCCGGTGCCTCCCCCACCCTCGTTGCAAAAATTCACGACCGCCGCCGTTTGCACAAAAAATGTCCCACGGGTGCACATTGCTGTGCTAAGCCCTTATCCCAGAAGCGTGGGTGCACCCCTGGAAAACTACAACTCCCAAGATGCTCGGGGGTTCCTCTCAACCAATAGGAGCAGAGGGGGGGCGGTTCCCTGCGTTAACCCTTCGCTGGCCGGAGCCGAGGACTGCAGGAGTGGCTGGTAGAAGCAGGCAGGCTGTGGCCGGGAGTGCTGCTTGGTGCCCTTTCTCTGCCCTCGTCTTTTGCCAGTCCCACCTTTTGGGCTCAGGTGAGTTACACCTGCAGGAGTGGATCTGGGAACAAGGAAGAGGCTGACTCGCCAATCAGCCATCAGCTGAACTGTAATTGTATTTTAGCCTAAAACTTAAGTTTAAGCTTTTTTCGCTCATAGAACCCCTTCCTGCTTTTAAAAACGATGGACCTTTTCATTTGTACCGGTTCTGTTTATTGATACTGAGTAAAAAACAGACAAACAAAATCTTGGGTAGAACATTTATTTCCTGCGTTGTGTAAAAGTAACAATAGGAAAAACCAGGCGAGACAAACATAAATAAAACAGGTATTATGAAAAACTAGTTTTCATTAAAATACGTGTCCTAAAACTGTATTTTTACAACACATAAATAATAGAAGAAGGGCATTGTTTTACATATTTGCAAATATCTTCAATAGCTGGGAAATGATTTTGATATGGCAGACGGCCAGGCGGGGTGGGGTGGGGTGTCTGGGTGGGAGGGAGGGATTTTCAGGGGTGCTCAGAGCATGTTGGATGAGAAAGATAGTGAACTGCACTCCCCCCCCCCCGCATTTTCAACTCTGGAAGCAATACAATAAAAACAAGATTATGTAACAAGGAAATAATGACTCATTAAAACATGCCTGTTCATGCTTTTCCCCTGTCGTTTTACCTGCCCTTAAGTCTCTTTTCTTTTCCTCTTCTTTTTCCCCGTTTTTCTAGGATGCCGGAGGGCCCAGAGCTCTTTCTAGCCTCCAGATATATCAACGCAGAGTGTGCAGGAATTACGTTTACAGGGAAGGTAGAAAAATCCGAAGTTAGCAAAAATCCGGAGGTGCCTTTTGAGAGCGACGGATACCTGATCTCGGCTGTCTCCCGGGGCAAAGAACTGAAGCTCACTCTGACCCCGATTAAGCGGGAGGGTTCGAAAGAGCCCCCTATGGATCTTGTGTTCCGTTTTGGCATGTGTGGGAATTTCAAACTGGTCCCAATTTCCGACATGCCCAAACATGCTCACCTGCGTTTCTATACTCAAGAAAAGCCACTCCGAGTTCTCTGCTACGTGGACGTCCGGCGTTTTGGCAAGTGGGAGGTGGATGGCACCTGGCAACCGAACCGAGGGCCTTGCGTGATGTTGGAGTATGAACAATTCAGGTGAGGGGCTGCCTCCCAACCCGCCTGCCTTCTTACCCAAGGCCTGGTTTGTATGTACACTTCAACCGCTTGATGTCCTTGGAGTTAAAAATGAGAGTTTTTTTTTTATTTTCATGAATCGGCATAGCAGGAAGGAAATCTTGTGATTGTTCCTCAAGAAGGAGTGGAATACAACTCCCATCATCCACCAGCTAACGGCTGGAGGGACGAGGATTGTAACAGCACAGGTTTAGAAGGAGCCAGATTGGAGAAGGTTGGGGTGACGTGGGATTATCTCTTACAACCAAAACTGGGATTTATCGTATCGGGTTTGCTTCGTCTTAAAACTTGGCAAGTTTGAGAAACACTGCCCTGGAGGTAGAAAGAAACATGAGAAAGAAACTCAAAATAAGCCCACTTTGATTTTATTTAGTACATGATGGGCAGAAAGAAACTTGGAGAAGTTTTCCAGGTTCTGTTATTACAGCCTATATTACAATAAAGCAGTGTTTCTCAACCTTGACAATTTTAAGGCATGTGGACTTCAACTCTCAGAATTCCACAGCCAGCAATGCTGCAATAAAGGATCTGTGTAATGTCTCTCTCTTGATCCGGTCTACTTCAAAGGATGATCTCATCTTGAAAGCCTGCCCACCTTTGTCTATTTTACACTAAATGAAATCAAGTTGGATTATTTTTTTGTGTCATTCTACTTCAAGGCTGGTTGCACCTTTTCCAACTGAAAAGGTTGGGGCTCTTGGAAGTTTGTGCTTTTTTAGTAAAATTTGTCAGAAAAGATACTACCAGAATCTTCCCATTTTTTGCTAGACTTCATTAACTCCTATAGTGCCTTTGATCTTGGGTTACATAATCTCTTCTCCAAGTTCTTCCTTCATGCCTCTTTCATGCCTTCCTCAAGGCATCTCTAAATTCCTTCACAGAATCCCAAATATTCCCTGCTAACAAGTCGGGACTTGCTTTCCAGAGAAAACATCCTGAGGAATCTGTCGGACAAGGCCTTTGATAAGCCCATCTGTGAGGCTCTGCTAAACCAGAAGTTTTTCAACGGAGTTGGCAACTACCTCCGGGCTGAAATTCTTTACCAGTGAGTCTGTGATTTATTTAGGGGTCTCTCCATTGGGGTCTGCTGGAAAGCAGAGGGAACTTTGTGGTCCTGTGTTGGAGAATCCAGAAGATCTTTTTTGGATTCAAGGAAGCATCTGGAGAAAGCAATTTGGAAGTTGTGCTAAGACTTGCAGATTGACCACAGAGACAACAGCATCTGGATTTCAAGCTGGAAGCTGTTCCATGTATTTCTAGAGTTGGAATCCTGTCCTTTGAGCTCCAGATGTGGGTTTACAGGCAATATATGTCCTTGGTGCTCTCTGAGCTTGGTTGTTTTCTTGCAGACGTTTCATGACCCAACTAAGTAACATCATTAGTGCTAGCAGGGGTGAGGAGGAGGAGGAAGAGGAGGAGGAGGAGGAGGAAGACGAGAATTGTGGGGTCCTTGGTACTCTCTGAGCTTGTTTTCTTGCAGACATTTCATGACCCAACCAGGTAACATCTTCAGTGCAGTTACTAGCAACCTACCCTGCAAACTAACATCCTTCATTTTCAGGAGAGAATAAAAAAGGGAAGGGAGAGGAACTTTCAAACTTGCAAGACTGACCCTTTGAGGTAGTCCAGACAAGAAGCATCAACCATGACTACTATATACCCTCTGAGCCTTTAACCACTTTTCTCCAACTTCTTCTAGATCAAAAATCCCTCCCTTTGAGAAGGCACGGACCGTTCTGGAAGATCTGCAGCGTGGACTGCAGGTAAGATGTTAGAAGCCCAAAGGAATCCCTTCTTTTGCCTATTTAGAAAAGATTTCTGTTTATCCGACTTCCTGTCTCCGCATTTCAGGTTTCGGGTGCGACAACCCTCAGCAAGAAAGTGAAATTGAAACGAGAGAACCCTGACTTGCTGGAGGTCTGTCACCTGTTGCCCATGGAGGTCGTGAATCTAGGTAAGCACCCGGTGGGGCCCCCAAAGGACCCTCCCCATTTGAGAAGGGTGAGATTTATGTCAGTTACAGATAGTGCTCAACTTGTTTAGTGACGTTTGCAGTTTGTTGTTGTTAATTGCGAAGTCGTGTCCGACCCATCGCGACCCCATGGACAACGTTCCTCCAGGCCTTCCTGTCGTCTACCATCTTCTGGAGTCCACTGAAGCTCACGCCTCCTGCTTCAGTGATTCCATCCAGCCACCTCATTCTCTGTCGTCCCCTTCTTCTCTTGCCCTCCATCTTTCCCAGCATCAGGCCCTTCTCCAGTGAGTCCTTCTTTCTCATTATGTGGCCAAAGTACTTGAGTTTCAACTTCAGGATCTGGCCTTCTAAAGAGCAGTGACGTTTGCAGTTACGACATGAAAAAAAAATGACGTGTGCCCAGTTTTCACACTTAAGGCCATTGCGGCATCCCCGTGGTCATGTGATCAAAATTCAGATGCTTGGCAACTGACATGTACTTATGACTGTTGCAGTGCCCCGGGGTCATGTGATCACCATTTGTAACCTTCCCAGCAGGCTTCTGAGAAGCCAAGTCAGTGGGGGAAGACAGGTTCCCTGAACAACTGCAATGATTTGTTTAACAAATGGGGCAAAAAGGTCGTACCATGTGGCCAAACTCACTTAACAACTGCTTTGCTTAGCGGTGGAAACCTTGGGCTCAGTTGTGGAGGTATGTCACGGTCACAACGGAGCCCCAAACTTCTGTGGTTGTGAGACATTTGTTAAGTGAATGTTGCCCCCTTTAAAAACCTTCCTTGCCACACGGGTGAAGTGGATCCCTGCAGTTGATAAGCTATAATAACTTAATAATCCGGTGATCCAGTGAATCTGGTTTCCCCATGGACTTTGCTGTTCAGAAGGTCACAAGAGGGGATCACATGACCTTGGGACACAACAGACATTAAGTACAAGCCAGTTGCCAAGCACCTGAATGTGGATCACAAGATTAAGGGGATGCTTCAAAGGTCGTGACTCTGAAAAACAGTCCTAAGTCCCTTTTTTCAGTGCCGTCGTAACTTTGAACGGTCACTAAATGAACTGTTGTAAGTCAAGGACTACCTGTATTTATGTCTCGGCTTGTCTTCACCCAGGAGGTGGCAAGGGATATGACCTCACCAACCGAGAACATTTTGCCGTCTTTGAAGAGTGGCTTCACTGTTACTCCCTTCCGGGCATGAAATCCCTGCGTGATGCTAACGGCAGGACCATCTGGTTCCAGGTAGGGATACAGGCGACAAGCAGCGCTTGCCCTCTAGGTGAGATGATGGAACCATCTTTGCCTCGGCCTCAGCTTGGTTTGAAGGCTGCACCAATATCTGCCTTAGTGTGTTGTAGGCGTGGCTAACAGCTGTGTATAGAAAGGAAGGCGTGGCTAACAGCTGTGTATAGAAAGGAAGGCTCCGCAGATGTGTTCTCTCTCTTCCGTTTCCTGCTGTAACTGCTGTGTGTTGGAGACTGCTGTATTAACACGTGTGTGTGTGTATTGTTCCTGGTGTATGATATTGTAGATAGTGTAAGATAAACCACCATTTAATATAGACCACTGTTTACTGTGTTTACTCCTGTGTTATCTCAGTGCAATAAGACTATGCATGCTCTGACATATTATATATGTTAACAAAATAACAACAGAATAACAGAGTTGGAAGGGACCTTGTGGGTCATCTCTTGTACTGTGTTTTCAGTACAAGGTGGAGTTGTGTGTTCTTCCTCTTCATTTCTCAACCATTACATCAGTAACATTCAGGTTTTCCAGGCATCATAGCACAGTGGTTAGAACGCAACACTGCACTGCTCACTCCCAGCAGTTTGATCCTGACCAGGTTAAGGTTGACTCAGCCTTCCATCCTTCCGAGGTCGGTAAAATAAGGACCCCAGATTGTTGGGGGGCAAGAGGCTGACTCTGTAAACTGCTTAGAGAGGGTTGTAAAGCACTGTGAAGCAGTATATAAGGGCTGTTGCTAGTGCTATTGGATGATCAATACCTACATATAGCAAACCTGGCTATTCCAAGAAACCTGAATTATTTTTCTTCCATATAGGGAGACCCTGGACCCCTGGCCCCAAAAGGTGAGCTCCACTTTTACATTTCCAGTACTTTGAGGAAAAGAGAAAATGAGAAAGGGTCCCCCCCCCCTATAGAGCAGCATATAGGCTGGCATCAAAGGTATTTGCTTAGTCCCAGGAAATTTCTACTTGCAGCCAGAAAATTTCAGATTTCACTGCTAGCTTTTCTGATTAAAGGATCTGGGGATTAAAATTCTCTGCTGGAAAACAGAAACCTAAGCTAGAAACATGTCTCTAAGAAGTCACCTTTTGTTCCTGTATTATAGAACATAGAATCTAACATTGTGATTAATTAAGAAATTAAGAAGGCACTGATCTAATTGTGTGTAATGTTTTGAATCCCAGGGGGGAAATCTCAGAAAAAGAAGACACAAGCAAAGTCTAAACCAGCTGTGCAGAGTTCAAAGGTAAAGGTGTATTATCTCTTTCTCTGGGGAGATTATTTACCCGAGACATTAAGGTCTTTCTCTTTTGTCTATGTCTCTGCCTCTCTGTGTAAAGTTCCCAGAATTATTAGCTAAGTTCCTCTACCCTGGAAATGGAGTGGGAAAAAAAAAGAGAGAAATAAACAAGGAACTGGATAATTGTTCCAAAGGTCAAGAAAACCGGGGCAGATAGAAACCTCCTAGTCCAATATTTGATCATTTAACGAGTTAGTGCTTTTTCGATCTGTTAACTGGATGAACTTGGTCATGTGTTTGCGATTTGGGCAGTTGACAAACGGCTCGCGTTTACAACCGTTGCCGTGTCCTGTGGTCCTGTGCTTACCGTTTGTGACCTTCTCGGTTCAACGGGAGAAGCTGGCTTTGCTTAATCCACAGCAAAAAAAAAAAAAAAAGTCATAAAATTCGGTGTGATCATAGGATGCCTCATTTAAGAACGTCCCCCACGTTAACGATGAATTTTCTGGTGCAGCTTGTGGTCATAATGCGCACATCGATCTTACAGTTCTAAGAATAAAGTCTTGCTGATCCCGTGTGATTTTTCTACTTAAGATGGCGTCCCTCAAGTGGCCGTTCTCCCCATACTGAGTTGGGAGTTCCATCTTTTATGCCATTGTGGTGATCCAACGTATTAGAATGTGAATTTGGAGACTACCGAGTCTCCGGCTGTCGTAACTGGGCCACATTTCAGATGTCTGCAGGTCCCTCTCTTCTGCCCGAGATCAACTTTTGATCTCAGGATTTTATCCACCTCATTCGAGGGGTGGATTGGCTTCTCCGAGCATCTCTGTCCGTCTCTGCAGGCCAGCAAGGGAACGAAGAACTCAAGCAGCAGCCCTGCTCAGAAAGAAGTTAAGGGAAGGAGGAAACTTAAACCAGAGGATGGAGTTATTCAAGAAAAGGAGGATGGCAGTGTGGTGGGCAACAGAGCCAGGGGTCCCAAGACCAGATCTCAGAAATCGTCTTCCGATTTGCAAGAATCTTTGCCGCTAAGTTCACCACCTCCGGCACAGAAGAGGCGAACGCCTGCTCAGAAAAAACAGAGTGAGAAAGATAACCTATCTGGGGTTTATAAGGGCTACCTCAAGTCTCTATCCACTAGGTCAGTGGTGGTGAACCTATGCATGCGTGCCAGAGGCGGCACTCGGAGCCCTCTCTGTGGGCATGCATGCCATGCCCCAGAGATGGCAACCATCCCTCTTCAAGCAGCCGCCCACTAACTCGCCGAGGTTCCACGTGGCCGGATAAATCCCAGCATGGCTAGTTTCCCTCCCCCCTGTTCCATCCCTCCTGGCCTCCCATGCTCTCCTTTTCCTGGGCACGACCCACTGCATCGCCTTCTCAGCTGTCGGCCCTCTGTCCAGCTCAGAGGGCCGACTTCTCTGAACTGCTGATGGCGGGCTGCGGAGCCCCAGAGTGCGCCAGTCGAGGGGCTGGCAGGCTGTGGCTGCTGACAGACGCTATTGGTCCCCATGCATTCGCTGGCCTGTGTGTGCAGGGTCCAATGGTGTCAGGCAGCAGCCATCCTGGCCCCTGCCTTGCCTTGTCCTGCGACAATGGCACCCCAGCCCTGCCTCGCCTTGCCTCACCCCGCAGGACGAGCCTCCTGCCCACTGCCCTACCTGCCAGAGACCCCCTGGATCTCCCCCAACCCTGCCCAGCCCCCACAGGCGTCCCTCCCCACGAGCAACATCAAGGAGACCACGCCCACCTTGGCCACACCCACCCAGTCTGCCATGACCACCACAGCCACGCCCACCCAGTGGGCCACACCCACCTGGCACCCAGTGATAAATAAGTGGGTTTTGGGTTGCAGTTTGGGCACTCGGGCTCTAAAAGATTCGCCATCCCTGCACTAGGTCCTCTAACTGTTATTAATTTTCCCTTTTTAGCTAAGGCACCAGCAATCTCAAGATCTAAACGGGTGAAGGCTTCCTAAAACCCTTCTCAGTGCGGAAGGATATTTGCATAAGCTTCAGGTAGATCTTCACGCTCCAGTGGAGGAGATAAATGCAGCTTTGGGACCCAAGATTACCAACTGAAGGACCCTCATGAGCTTCAGGCAGAGAACTTCATGCTCCAGCCGAGGAGATAAATACAAGCTTTTCATCCAAGATTGCCAGCTGAGAACTCTCGTGAGACAATGTTTTCTTGCCTCGTTGACCAACTTTTAAACTTAGCGTTGTGCAGATTCCTTGGATTATTACTTACGCTGCTTTTAAGATCCTGCACCTGGGGGGGGAAAATGCCTTTGGTTTCACATTGTTCTGGCAAGTGGAACTGAAAGGACTCCAGCAATTTGAATAGTTGCTACCTCTCAAACTTCTGATTGTGGGAAGACTCTCCGAACAAAAGTTCTAGACAGCGAATGAGTAAGGTTTAATCTTCAACAATTAAATCAAATGCTTTCCTTTTATAACAATGTGTGTATGTTGTTGTTTTTTTAAAAAAACTGTTTTTATATGCTAATAAAAAAAGATCCTGCTTTAAAAGTTGCTTTTTTCTTCGTCAGGCGGCGGCTTGGGAGACAACTGCCGCCGCAGCATTGGACCGAGTCGTGCCTTTGCGGCCTCTGACCCGACGTAGATCTCGATTGGCTCCCTGGTTTACCAAGGAGCTGAGAGAGATGAAACGTCGGAAAAGATGCCTAGAGAGATGTTGGAGGGCCAGCCGAACCGAACCCGACCGAACACGGGTTAGGATACAT